TATATATATATAAGCACTTTTTAACATTTTGCAGGCGTTGCTATTGGAAATAGCAACGCTATGGAAACTACTTGGAAATAATTATAAAAGAACATAAGAAAAGATGATGTGACAATTTTCCAGATGCCAAAATGTACCGGTAAACTTTGTGTAAAAGTATTTTCTCATTGTTTGAAAGCACAGTGGTTTTGAAAAACTTAAATATTATATCTATTTTACTATATCGGATAGCAAAAATAAATTTTCTTTCAATTTTGATAAATTGAAAAGACATTATATCTTCTGCAATATTCAAAGACAGCTAAATACAATTACGCTCAATGTGCAATAGAAACGTGACAGACATTTTGTCTTGTTTGAAACTCATGCACATATGTTCATGTCCTAGTAAGAATGATGTTACAACGTCGGAATATTTTTAAATGTTTCCTGCTTACACAATAAGGTACATATCCCGTTAGAAAAACTTACGGATTCAAGTTCAACATTAGGAGTCATCGAAAGGATTATTGTTGACAGTATGATACATCCATTCCACAGCCTTTCTTCTTATTATACTTTTTGTAAAGAAAGAATGACAGTCTCAAAATTCCTATGAAATATCTAAACGATGTAGTATATCAAGTGGTTGATGCTGTAACATGACTTTACTAATAAGAGGGAAATTAAAAATCAAGATTTACTTCTGTTTCAGCTTAACTTTGATGATGTTGGTTTTTATGGTGATAGTATCAAGGAGTCCCTGATGAAAGTGGTGTGACGTTTTAGACTAGATGACATGTTTGTCAGTACCGATAATTTTGACTTGACAGCAAATCAAATTTCTTCAGTTAATTACCTAGTTTATTATTAAAAATTTATTATTTCTCCCAATGTCTTCCTATCTCTTTAAAACTAAACGAAAAACAAACATATTTCAATACTTCAAATAAATATCGCAGTTTTTTATCCATTTCTTCATTTTGCATTTTCTATTTCTTTTTATAACTTGCAATTTTCATAAAACAATGAGATTTAAAAATATACTTAATAAAAATTTAATAGTATAAGTATTATGTTTATAATTATGTTTATAATTAATAAGTTAATATAAGTATTATTCCCAGCACAATCTCTATTTATATAATAATATAATTGTGATTGCACAAATACTATCCAAACTATAATATTGACTATTGATCATTGGAAGGATACAAGCACGGTAAAATACAACAACCGAAAACTGTACAATCTTTAAAATAAGTGCCAGTATTCTTAAAAGGAACTATGTAAAACCAGGAACTATGTAAATTTCGTAAATAACATTTACCAGGAGAAGCTCTTCAGAGAGAAAACATATATCTTGCCGGCTCAAAAAACAAGATTGCATGCTCTTCGCATCACGAACAAAAACAGCCTTCGTAATTTCGCAGGTATTTCGTACCAGGAGGAATTATATTTATAACAACTTTGTATTTCAGTCATCAGCAAATTTTCAATTTCACTAAATTTAAGTGATTAAAGTCTTACATTTTGTCACGCAATTGCATGCTGTGATGAATCAGTCTCTGATCTTGCAGCTGAAGCAAAACGTTTGTAACATTTGAGCAAAGATATATATCATATACTTCAGCGTTTCCCTAATTTCGTTAATCTGTAATACGAATAATCGAAAATACGATACTTTAAACAAAATATGATAGTTTAATCTCTCGCTTTAGTCTCTTAACTATTAACCATATAAGTGTGAGTAGGACAGGTGAACGTAAGACAATCTGCGAATAACATGAAATACGCGAATAAAAATACCAAGTTGAATTTCAATGATAAATAAACTGCATGTACTTATAGTAGAATAATGCATTATTACAGTTATTATCAGCATTTG